TTTTCTTCTTAATCGTTTATGAAATTCTTGTACTAAATATTTCATTCTAAACCTATCATCACTACATGTTTCTTTCTTTTCTACTTAAAATATTATGACATCGTATTACAAATACCACATCTTATTTATTTTATGTACTAGTTATTTTTCGATGTATCTGTATTTCTTAAAATTCGATATCATTTCTTCATCTTTTAATTGTTTATTATTCTATTTATTTCATTACTAAATTACTATTACTTTTTTAATTTACATTATATTTTTTTTATATTTTCAAACCTTACCATTACACACTATACACACACATTTTAATGTTTACTAACTTATTGGAGTTTGTTTATTAGCAGATAAGATATATTTTATTCTCATATCTACTTCAAATAGTTGTTTAATAAGTTTTGGTTGTTATCATGTATTTCCTCAGCCATGATGAAGTTCTTAAACTTGGGACGAAACGTGGGCATAAAATAAAATATTTTTTTTATTTATTGTTGTGTTCTCACTGCAGCAACGCCAAACCAGATTGTCTGCAGTCATCCACTTCTTCATCATCAAAAATGGAAGATCGCATATGTTTTGAATGATTAAAATGAGTCCATAATAAATTATTATTCATCGTTTTCCAGGACCACGATAACAATACTCAGCCAGTATATGTTTAAAACAATATTCAATTCAATTTATGTTTATATTGTTGTTAGATGAGTGAAAGAAGGGGGTGAGGACCCTGCTTCGTTTGGATGGACGACAGCCAGGCTTTTCCGAGTGGCTGTGTTTTCAGCTCACGTCGAGCCACTGATTGGAGAAGACCTTACCCCTCCCACCCCCTCCTCCCTCAACCCCGCTCTTCCGAGAGCTGACTGTGGGACGTTCGATTTTCCGAACAAACAGGGCTCGCTACTCTCCAATCCTCGGCTTAATTATCCGTCATTTGTGCGCTCAGGACTTCCTTTGGGGTCTTTGTCAAGTCCATGTCTCTCTCATTTGTTCTTTTAATTCTTTCATTACTTCTGTACTTTATTTTCTCTCTGACAAACATCTGTCTGAAGTCCCCTTTTATCCCGGAGAATTTCTCTTCTTCCATTTCGTCGTAATTACACCCTTATTCCGCCACAAAGACATTATTCATTACTCAAAAGGAACAATAATTTAGAAAAAAAGGTTCTCTTCAAATAAAAAAAATTATCATGGCTGAAGGTAAGCTTGCTTTATATTTAAAAAAAAAATCAATTAAGTAAGAAATTCCGATAGTCATAAATAAATTATATGTAATACTTTTTGAATTTTGTTTATATAACAGTAGCTTGTTAAGTAAACTAAATAATTTCTCTTTTGTCTTATAACATTAATTTGTACCAGTCAACTATAGTCTGTTTTGCATGGAGAAATACAGTAACAAGTTTCACCTTTTCCCTTGCTTGATTCAATTACTTTGGTGTTTAAGAAGCGAGATCTCTCACACTACCATTTTAGTTCCCTCCACACACCCAGCGGTATCTCATCTGTTACCATGTCTGCTATTAAACTGTTGTAAAATTTGTATATAATCATTGGCGAGTGGATGCCAGTGCGCAGGGTTTTGTAAGTTCTGTGCCAAAGTGCTTTTGTTATGGTTTGTAATATATACATTTTTTTTCGAAAATTCTTCATTGTGATATATTACAATCTGTCACATCTAAGGACAATACTAATAGTGATAAAAGAGTAGCTCATTCACACTGTAAATAACATATTAAGGATAATCGTTAATATCCTTTTTGGCGGGCAATTGCGAATAGCCTTCCGTTTAGTAGGGGGACTAGGTTATTTACGTTCGTGATTTAATTTTCTTAAAACAAAACTCCGACACTGGATATAGACTTTTTGAGGGTGTCTAACTGTTGTTGGGAATTCGGGAACCTAATACTTCTGTGATACTGAGTAAATCTATGAATGAATTGACCTACCTGGTTTGTTATTCTTCAATTGTGAGGCCTATGGAACAATAAATAAATAAATGACTTTTCACTCCTGTCTAACAAATAAATTTATATTTACAACTGTAATAAGTGAATCTATTATAACTTCTATAAGTCTTATAACTTTAGGCTTGATCTTCTTAATCTTCAGTGCAGTGCTTCTTTGTTCTGACAACCTCCTTCCTTCCTGTCCATGCCTAGAGTGAGTCCTCTTCTCTCCAGCGTCTTTCTCCAGCTGTTGCTACCTGCTCCATCCTATTCCAACCTTCTTCCTCCTTCGTCGATTGATTATCGATATCAGCCTTTTCAATGAATAATTTGTCCACTGCACAATTGAGTAAAATTCATAGTGCAATATCATATTCCAATATATTCCTTCTCATTCCCTCACACAATGCCACATAAAGGTGTAAATACTGGTGGCTATCTACTAAAACACTATGTGTAATAAATAAACAGCAAAATAATAATACTAAAAGTTAATTTAAATAAACTAAAAGAAACTAATCTAATTAAAATAACAACTTAAATACACACAAGCTTTTATACAATATTTACAAAATTCATTAACTCAAGATTTCTGAGCCAAGCCTTTCTCCCCACACGTGGATGCAAAGCCAGAAATAATAAATAATAATTATTATAAGCTCAATTATAATGTTAGCTAAAATTATGATATTTACGAAAGTTACTAATTGATTGTCATAAAAATAATGTCATTTCGATTCCATGTAGTTTTATCAATAATAGTAATAACTTCAATAATGGTTATTATTGTTAGTTTTTTTAAAAATATTATCTCAGTTTTCCCTTTAAAATATTTCATTTATCAGGAAAAAGGCAATTTTAGCAGTGATAAACAATCATTATCGTTAATTGCTAAATATGTTAATAACCTTGTGCATATTAATGCGCAGCAACTTAATGTTAAATAAGGACGAAACATGGAAAAGATATGCGCATATTTAAGCATACTAAACTGACTTTATTAAAGATTGCTATGAAACATTGACTATTTGCTTGATGAGTATGCTACGTACGAGATTCGGTTATTTAACGTAAATTATCACTAAAAACAAAATAGAAATTTTCTAATCAAAGACGTATTGTGTTAATATTTTTGCAAAGAACTTATCATTCAATTAAATTTAAAAAAATTAATGTGATATTTAGAGCGTACACCCTTATCGCACGCTTGGATTAATTCTTCACGCTTAATTAATTTTCTACTAAATTTTAGTATAGAAAATTCAGAGTGCACAAAAGGACTTTTTAAAAAAAAGTTAAAATAGAAAAACTTAAGTTATATTCCCATCGAGCACACAAAAGTGTCACATAAACTTTCACAATTTATTTATTTATTTTTTAAGTTAGCCTTGTCAGAAAAATACACTGGAAAGAGGACATAAAAATATATCATTAAGTTCAACACAAAAGATACAAAAACGGCAAGGAAAAACTTATAAGGGGGACCCTTCTCTTAGAACAAAAAGTGGGTTTTGTTGACAAAGGGTACAGTAAAGAAAGGGCGGAGGAGTAAAAATAATTCCCTTAGAAAATAATTCAATAAGGGAAGGATATTGGGCCTGTATGTCGAATACAAACAGTCCTCAGTCCCCCTTTTGAGAGCTTGCCCACTGTTTTCTGTAAGCGAGATCTGATTGGCTCCGGGCTAGGGGATGTGATGTGGCCAGCTTGCTTCGACTTGCTATCTTAAATTTATCATGATTTATTTTTGAATAATTTTATAAATGTAGCTAAGCTGTTTAGTAAATATTAAGTTTTTTTACACAAAATCTGCATTCCAATCTGTCTAAGATAAATGTGAAAATAAGCAAATTTGGTGATAAATTATGATCAAAGTATTTGAGGCATGGGTAAGAATTATTCCCAGGATCTTCCTACATTTGAATGCCTTGATTCATGAACGAGAGGTCTATCGTGATAAGATAAAAACGAAAATGATTTGTTAGTGACCTTAAATATGGAGGATATCCATTTTTAATAAAAATAGAGATAAGCGCATGGATGATCTGGAAATCTATCAATATACTTAATAGTCAAGAGATATATCAGTTCCGTTCACTAAAAGCCTATATCTTAACATCAAAAGAAATGTATCCCGAACTTTAGATTCAATCTATGTAACGAGCGAAATCTAAAAACCTGTATTATTTTCTATAAAAATATCTTGCAATAACCCAATAATTCATTATAATATTGAAGAAATCCTATTAGGTAAAATATTTCGACACAAGAACGCCAAAAATCGAGATCGACTATTTTCATAAAAAAACTTGGATAAGTATAAACTGGATGAATTGAAGAAATCTGATAAGTTTATGTGAATTGATCCACCAATCAATAATTACACGGTTCTTTTTCACTAGTATGAATAAAATGATATTCAATATCAATTTTATGTATGACACTTTACACTGGATAAAAACTCATTATTTATTTGTGATCTATAATTGTAACGTGATTTTAATAAAGTTTTATTTATATTCGTTTAACATTTTTATTGTAAAATTTCCTGTTTCTTTGATAACTATCTTCCTCTCTTCCTCTAAATTTAACATGTTATTTAAATATTCTTCTAAAAAAAGGTAACTCTAAAACAAATTGGTTGTCAGTTGCATGCAAACCTCGCATTTGTCTTAATTATTTTCTCTCCTTCATTTTTATTAGGTTTAGAATTTTTATTTTTATTTAAAACATTAAGTAAGCGGTTCAATTAAAAAAAAATTATGTATTGATTATGCATATCGAATCATCATTATAAAATGTAAAAAGTAAATAAAGTAACATTTGATTATATAATTTTTTTTTTCTTTAAAGACTTATTCGCGCCTCTCTACTATATGAATAAATATGTTTGCCTTGTTTTACATATAAATAAAAATAAATTAACACGAATTACAATTATAAGATAAATAATTAATATCTTAAGAATAAAATAAGTTTTCACTCCAATGCATATACATTATGGTACTATTTTATTATTGCTGTACTGTTATGTCCCTTTTTTTTCCATTTCAGAACAAAGATATGAAATGCTAAGGATAATAAAACCTGGAACAAAGGGAACTCAGTGCCAGAGGAAATGCTTCAAGGACTTGGAAATAAAATTTTCACTGCTCGGATCTTATCAACGGCTCTTTATGTCCTTGTCAATAAATACTTGAAAAATAAAATAAAATAAATAAAAAAGGGAACCGATTTAAGGGAGCTACCGTTCTTTATAGAATACCTATCAATAAAATTGAAAGAAGGGCGTTTATTATCGCAGAATGCCATAATATTTTCTTAATTAAAAAAAAAAAACCAATTCATTGAAAAAAGCATTACCTATTACAAATCTTACTATGCTTATATTTTTTTAACAATGAGTATGATAATAGTATAAAATGGATCAAAAACTCAATCATAAGATAAAAATTTACTTAATTCTTAACGGGAAATAAATATACTTCAAGCTATTTCGTTCTGTTTTCAGTCAGGCCATTCTCCTTTAAAGCTCTTGATTTTCTTTGTTCGTTTCGGCCGGGAAATCTAATCTACCATCTGTCCCACTCTGGCTCCAGATATCGAGCTTTATCTCCCTGAAACACCGACCTATGATTTACCGTCGAAATGGTTGCACTCATAATTCTATGGTCATTATATATTCGAAATCTATGTAGCACATAATTATTTTCAGATTCGAAACAATTTTATTTTTTTAGACGGTTAAAGTATACCCATGCAAATAAGTCATCACTAAAAATTCTTAAAACTGTAAAACTGAAGTCTGTTATAAAAGAAAAAAACTGGGATTGAAAAACTTGTTCGATAAATTACTTTCGTATAATATATTTAAGAAGTATAACATATTGAATTGTTTTAAATTTGATTTGACATGGTTACTCTTTGTATTCCGCTCAAGAAACCAAAAATAAAATAAAAATTATTTCGAAGTAATTTTGAAACTGGAGTTGCTATCCCAAAACCTAGTATTTCTAAAAAACTTTCTTACTCAGTTTCTATAGTTCTATTAGTAAGAAATCAAAGTCTAATATTTTTAGAACTAGTTCTTAATACCAGTATTGCGGCTAAGGAGAGGCGCTGGGATATCCTATAGTCCTTTCTTTCCTTCCACGAATTGGGTCGGAGTCCTTCTAAGTGAATGGATTTTATAAATATTGTAAAAAAGTATGTCCGTATTTAAATAATCAGTTTGATTGGTTTAGTTCCTTTTTGTTTGTATACATTTACTTTAAATATTATTTATTGTACTTTGAGTGTGAATGACCTACTCTATCAATATTACTAATGTCCTTAAATGTGACTAAACTTAATATTACTCAATAAAGAAATGTGTTTTAAAAACAAATATTTTTTTGAAACTTAGTGGATTACTTTCATTCTTAATAATAATAAAATGCTAAGTAAATTAGATGCCGTTACTACCAATCAACGAATACGTACTTCGATCCACAAACCACAGTCCAACCCCGCAAAATCGGCTTAAAGGTAATAATCCAAAACCTTTATTACGCTTTGCATCTCGAACGAATATCAGTCGGAACTGAGATTAATATTTTAGGTAGTTTTTTCGTCACTTCCATGAGACCAAAATACGTACACCCTCATTTTATTTGCTTCCAATCTATTACATAAATTATATTTACCATGTACATTTCACGCAATTTTGAAGTGTAGCTGTCAAAATTCATTGACTCGTCCATCGTTTCAAATATTTTGCGCAATACTTTAATTTAAAAAATCATAAAGTAAGCTTTATTCATCCCTTGATGTAAGCGGCTACAATTCGCATCTGTAAAGAACCATAGGAAGAATAATAGTTTGGTAAATTTTAATTCTTAAGTTTGGGCATATGTACTGCCAGTTAAATAATTTTTCAACTGAAAAAAAAAATTTCAGCTGTTAACTTATCCTGAATTTTATCTTCTATTTTTTTTCTAGTTATCGTTATCGCAAACGGTTTCCTTCTATATCTAAATCGCCGTGATTTCCATCAATAGTTACTATAAAAAATATTCATAATTTTAAATTAAAATAAAATATTTAAAATTAACAGTTTTGAATTTCTTTCATCTTCTGTAATTGCGATTACATTAAAACAAACCTATCACATGTTTTATTATTTGAATTTTTTTGTATAATTTATCAATTAGAATTTCTAATGTTAGTGTTAATAAAAATTTGGTATGAATTAACTATTTAGCTTTAAAAATAAGTAATTATTCATAAAAAATAATTCCTTACTAATAAATGAGTATGACTGTCCAGTTAAATCCAAATTGCTTTGCGTTATATACTCATATTCAGAGAAGGCAAAAGACCTGAATTTTTAACCCGGGGATAAAAGCTGTGATAATATTCCTATTGATCTTGTGTCAATCCACATCGTTCTAAAATACGGATGAGAACGAGTCTCCTGCCATGTCCAGCCTGTAATCTCAACGTGAAATGGAACATTTGTTGGAGAGAAAATAATTCATTATGTCATATTCAATTTCAAATCAGTGTCATTTTGATTCCAATTAACGGAATAATTCATTTTCGTCTCATTTATTTATGGTTTGTGATTAAACAGGCTTTTAATGGAATTAGTCAATAAAAATTAATTCTAAAAAAAAAATGAAAAAGATTCTTTGGTGTTAAAAAAGTAATAAAATATTATTCTGAAGTGTGCAAGTATTATATGGTCTACCGTGTAACTTCGGTCGTAGTGTTTGTTAAACTGCAATTAATTATAATTAATCGACCATTGGAGTCCTGTGATATGTTTCATCTGAATTTCAAACCTTAAATTAGCAAGAATAAGTTCTTTAAACATTTTAGACTTTCTGCTGCAGTTTTAGACGTATTCATGAAAAAAAAATTAAAACTAAATATGTTAAGAAAAATGTTTTCAAAATAATCTCAGTCGGCTCTCTGTAGCTTTGTGTGTTTTTCAGTGAAAATCTAGTAAAATATATCTTTGAGCCTAACAAAGATATCTATTTGATACTAGAAGCCTCATGTATTTTGAGTTACAACTCCAAAATAGTAGAGATGTACCAATAAAAGTACTATTATAACGATAACAGCGCTAAACTGGCGCCTAAACATCTGTCAGACTGACGGTATTTAATATAGTAATATGTGTTTGTGTATAAATCATTAATTAATAAATTAATAATGATGTAGAGATGATTGACCGTGATATAATATAAGGATTTGGTCGGGGGGTGCGGTCAAATAAATACTAATACTTTATTAATACAATACAATTAAATAGTTTATTTGACCGCACCTCCCCCCCCCCCCCGACCAACTCCTTCACATAATAAATTAATACATTTCTTTTTCTTTTTTTTTTTTGTTTACTCTTTTTCTGTATTTTTGGCTTTTGCAAAATTTTAAAATTTTAGTAAGAATAGTACTCAGCTCAAAATTATGGTATTAAATAGAAATAGAAATTACTATCTTAAACCTACTTCAAATTGAAAGAGTTATATAAAGATATGGTATTAAACATAACACGGTCTAAATTTTATTTATTATACTAAATATATTTTATTTTATTTCTTTAGTATTTTTTATTCTTTAGGATTCTTTTTTGTATTTTTATTTGTAACAAAAAATACCAACTGGGACCACGTTCAGACAAGTGATGGGAGTGGAATTGGAATCGGGGGGGAGCCCTGTTGAACAGCGGGTTAATCGATAGACTTAAATAAAGGTGAACGGGGATTAGCTGAAACAGATCGGGATTGTGCGGTTGCCATTGTCTCCCCCCGCACCGGCTCGCACTATTCAAACTGTAGCGGCGGAAAAAACACAGGTGCAGTATTTTACATGGCAGGCCTCGGTTCGTTACTCCGCGTTATGGCTTTACCGCTTCCCCTCCCCCCGTCACAAACGTTCTGTTCTTTCGGATTGTACTCGTGTAATTACGCACCTTTTCATGAATTGAATCCCATATAACTGTACTCACTTAAACGAAAATTTGTTTACTGATGACTTTTAAAAGTAAAAAATATGTAATAAAAATATGGATATTCTGTTGTATGGTATAATTGTCAAATATAGTTTCCTAACCATTTTTGTTTATTAAACTGTCTTGTTTAACGTTTTGGAAAATATTCTTCCTGTCATTAGAAACATATTTTCAGATGCTGATCCGTACATTCTTCAATGGTCTTTTCACTAATATATTTTATTTATTAAAAACAAAAATTATTGATTTGTATTACATTTTTCACATTTAAAGAAAGTAGTAATAGTAATACAGGAGCTCATTCCCACCTAGTGTTGTCCAAATGCGAGACCAAGAGGTTGGTTTTGATCTTGCGCAAGTCTCGCAACAGCCTTGCAGTTACCTATCAGCTTATTACTATAGAGGTATTACTGTAATGTTTGAGATCGGAGAAACCTAAATAAATCTGAATGAGAAATTAGAAGAGTTGACTGCAAAAGAATATTGGTTATAACAATTCTTTACATATAGTAACTAAAATTGTCAAGTAATAGTAGCTATTTTGCTTTAATTTTTATTTAAAAAATCAATTTTTTCTTCTTGCTCTAGGTCTTGCAACAGTTTGGCAACACTATTCACACCATTTTTACATTACAAAATAAATTAAATGGAATAACAGAACATAATAATACTAAAAATAAATATATAAATTTATTCATTGTGTGTACAATATGTGTATATTTTATTCTCAAAGGACTTGATCGCAGAATAAAATTAATTTTTCTGATCTATTCTATATAAACAGAAAAGAAACATAAACTATCATAGCATCAAATTAGATACAGATATACTTATATACAATATTTACATACTCTGTATTCTTTAAATGTTGAAGGAAAAGCAGGAATTAAGAAGATTCCAACACCTCTCTCTCTCTCAATCGTCACTGGTATAAGGATGCTGAGCAAATTGCCAACCTAAAGCATATTCGCTCATCTTCCACGTATTACTTTACATATTCACATATTTGGCAAGTAGGTTTCATTTCATGGGAGAATATCATCGTTTCATAGAATTTTGTTGGGGAATGGAAGACATATTCATAGATGTGAATTTCACAAACCATTTACCAGGCTTATGTCATTATTTTTTTTATCAAATTATTTTTAACCATTGTGCAATTATAATAAGTAACGTTTCATAGCTCTTATTAAGTTTCTTGATCAAAATAAAAGTCTTTGAATTGTAGTTTTTAATTTATTTCTAGTTGGTAAAATCGAAATTTTTTCTAAGATATAGTTTTGTGTCTCAGTTATGTTAAAAATCCAATTCGTTTTTCTTTTTTTGTCAACAAATTTTTTAATCTTTACTTGTTTATTATTCGTCATATTCTTATTTGTTATATTAGTTTTTTGAAAGGATTCTTATTGTCTCAGGATATTATATTATTACTTTCACTTGCTTATATATAATTAACTATCTATCATTGTCAGAAGTAAGGCTAAATATAAAATGCGAAAGAATATGATAACTGACTAAAGGAGAAAAAGGGAAAAAGGTTTTTAAGGTCGACAATGAATTTTCGAAAATAATAATCAGAAGGTATGCGTATAATATATCATTCGACAGCTGAGAATGTTAGAAAAAAAATCTAGCATACACAATTGTAGAATATAGCGGGGAGTGACGAAAACTTTCCTAATTAAACGTATACAAAATTATTTTTAAGTTTGTAAAAAAAAGAATTGTACTTATGATTAAGAAGCTATGAAATATTAAAATATTTCGTGCATGTATATAACAAATGATTATAACCTTTAACACATTTACTGTAGTTTAATAACTCTAGATCTGGTAATATATTTAAATAATTAGGTATCTATCGTCCGTTATACCGAAAAATCATCATGATTTTCAATCCGTGAAATAACATCATCCACTTAGTCTGACGACTTTTGATCTATCTATTGTAAGCAATGAAAATCTGAGAACTCCAATTAATAAGTATTACAATGGAAGGTAAGACTTCAATAACTTATAGTAGTACAATCCATAATCATTTATAGATTAAATATACAGATTTACTTTAAAATCTATCTGTGCATATAAAGCTCAGGGACTAGAATTCTTTGGTTTACAAAAACAGAGGGAATTATAAGGTTTTCCTTGCCTACCATCGATATAATAAATGGGGTATGTGATATTTTAATATCCTTAATGAGTGATGCTAATTAATAGTTAATGGTAGCTGTAAGGTTTAAGGTTCAGCTACGTTAATAATGCACTTCAAAAACTTTGTAATAGCTCAACATTGCCAGAAATTAATTTATATTCGAAGTAAATGGTAAGTGAACGTTGTGTGATGCGCACTCCATATTATTTTCTTATCTTATTTTTTCGATTCATCAGAGAATATTCCT